GCATTACACTGTTGGCACGATTTATGTTATTTACAATTAAAAATAAATAGTGTATGTTAAACAAATCAAAATTAATTTTAAACTTTTAAGTACATCTGGATCTAGACATATAATTAAGTCGGTAGTTTCAACCTACGTCATACTTTTGCCAACTGTGTGGTGAAACTATCAAGATTTGGTGCTGTAGTCTTGATTTCCGGCAAGTTGTTGTTAACACCATTGGTAATGTTAATCCAGTATTAAGTTGCCATTTAAAGCCATTTTTTCCCTTTTAATTGCTGTACAGTACTTATGTTCACGAGGTACTTATGTTCACAAGGTACTTATGTTCGCTACTTCAAAGCACAATGTCATCGTCATTTAAATTGCAAAATAAATGTTGATGTATTATGTAGCGAATGGTGTGAAAATTCATTACCTTCGCGGTCTCTTTGTTCAAATTCTTTAGGCTATTCACTAGATCTTTAAAAGAAATCCCATTACCACACTTGATGCCAAACTCTTAAGCAAGCCTCATATTTTATCAGCATATCCTTGTCGTTATAATCAAGCCACACAAATACGAGCAAGTATAAAGTAGGCCTATCAATTTCAATAGCTAGTGTGGTAGTACAGCTTGCCCTCCAATATGAGACCCCAATAATTCTGAGACCCCTCTAATTCGAAACAACTAAGGGGCGGATCAAGAGATGGCCAAAAGGGTGGGGGGGGCGGAAAGAGGGTGGAAGCGGGGCCGAAAGTGGGAGCCAATCGAGAAAACAATACCCTAGGGGTGTTCTCTGTCTCTTATACACATCTAGATGTGTATAAGAGACAGTCATAGTAGTAACACTCAGGATGCTTACATTTGAATGTGCACCAGCTCCACCCCTCTAAATCCTCTCCTGCCACTTTTCTACATCCGCCCCTGCTATATTATTTAAACAATCCTGGCATTATACTGTTGGCACGATTTATGTTATTTACAATTAAAAATAAATAGTGTATGTTAAACAAATCAAAATTAATTTTAAACTTTTAAGTACATCTGGATCTGGACATATAATTAAGTCGGTAGTTTCAACCTACGTCATACTTTTGCCAACTGTGTGGTGAAACTATCAAGATTTGGTGCTGTAGTCTTGATTTCCGGCAAGTTGTTGTTAACACCATTGGTAATGTTAATCCAGTATTAAGTTGCCATTTAAAGCCATTTTTTCCCTTTTAATTGCTGTACAGTACTTATGTTCACGAGGTACTTATGTTCACAAGGTACTTATGTTCTCTACTTCAAAGCACAATGTCATCGTCATTTAAATTGCAAAATAAATGTTGATGTATTATGCAGCGAATGGTGTGAAAATTCACACCAATGGGCCGAAAGTGGGAGCCAATCGAGAAAACAATACCCTAGGTGTGTTCTAGATGCCCCACAAAATTTCTATGTTCTAGACTCCTGAAAATGGGGGCGGGTCAGGTCCAGCTCCACCCCTCTAAATCCTCTCCTGCCACTTTTTCAAAGTATCAACTACCTACCTATTTGTTAACAATCATACCAAACAACTGAAAGATTTTTAAGATACCTAAAATTCTCCAATTCTAATTTTGTACTGTAAATATTTGAATGTATAATTGTAACATGATAAAAATGATAATTTGATCTATTTTTGTATTTTTCTATGAATTGTTTTTAATGTTTTTTATCTTTAGCATTTTGCTGTTTTATATTTACCTTGTTGTTTTAGATTTGTGATTTTGTGATCGTGTTTTTGATGTGTATAATTAAAGAGTTTTTTTGTGATGCAAACCATTTTAGCCTCAGCTGCTGTTTTTACCTGAATAAGTTAAAATAAATTATAAACCTTTACAAAGACCTACCAGGATGAATGACAAGATTCACTAATACAACCTGTATTTAAATTTGTACACACTGTACCAAATAAATATTAAAACAATGCCCGACTCGTTTACAGTAAAAAGTTCAAATAAACTGGTGATATTCAAATAAAAAGTATTATTTGGCCTTTTTTTGTTTTTGGAGTATGCATTATATTACAAGATATGCACAAATTAGTCTCCAGGGGAGTAGACTGGTTTTGGTGTCATAGGTTATGCGAAACGGCCTGAGGGTCGGGGGAACTTTGTGGAACTAATTAAATTAGCAAATTAAAAATTAGCATATTTTCCGTCTGGGATGCGTCTGCAGCCTTGTAATCCTCCAGCATATGCCCATCTTCTCTTTGTAAATACTTTAACTGGATACCGACTTCAATCACTACCAAAATCATTACTATTGTAATTTGTGTACTTTCAATATGATATAGACAAATACATGTATGGTGATGTACTTGGACACTGTTCCTTGAAAATGAAAATAATAGATATCCGACTTTTGAAAAAAATAAAGCACTTTAAGATATTAGTTTAGTAATCTGATCAACTGGCTTCAAGCCCCGAGACATTTAATGTATTACGATTACATGAATGCCGGATATGTGGTTTTGTATTTCCATTATCCATATACATAATGTCATCATTAATGTTAATTGGGGTTGTTAAGGAACACATTCGATAGACATCTAACCTATTTACAGTTTGCTCGAATAACAATAATACACAAGCCAGTGTGGTGATATGATGATAGGATTATCATCTTGTAAGTATTTTTTAAACTGTGTAGAAAAATCAACACTTACGGATACACTTAACAGAAATTTAAATACCGCAGACTACCCATGACAGAAGGAAAGAATGATTGTCAGTGGGATAGTTTTGCAAAGTTGATTTTTATGTTTCTTACTTTACATAAATTATACATGCAAAATTTGTAGAGATGTAAAAAATAGATACTATAGTAAGTATGAAGTGAGGTGGGG